AGGAAAATGCAAATATTTTATCAGGTTTTTTCCATACTGTTGTAAAACCACATAATATCTTTAGTGTGTGACCTGCATCTAAATTATAAGGACTACGTGGGCATCACTTTCTGTTGTTTGCTTTTTCTTCCAAAGATACTTCTTCTAAAATTATACTTTGTTAATTACTGCAAAAAATTAGGACACTGCAAAAGAACTACCTCAAAGGGTTCATTTCAAAGTCCACTGCTTAGGTTTTGTCCACAGACTGAAAAGTCAGTTAGAACTACTAACAGAGCAAACAGTGCCATGCGAGTGTACTGTTGAAAAGGTTTTTTTCAAGGGTTTCGTTTAAAGACTGAAAAGTTAAGGTTCGCTCTGAGGATGAAAGAGGGCGTTTAACAGTTGAAAGTTCACTTTCATTTGTCCTTTGAATTTTACATGTGACACTGTTGGTTGTATAGGCCAGGGTGACTCAGGCTAGCTGTCTTGGTTGAACTCAATACAAACGTCTAAATGTCTAAATATTTATTCAGAGGGGACCACACGCATGACCCCGAACAAAAGGTGATCCTTATTAAGACGCAACGCCTGCACGATACAGTGACAGCTAAATGAGGTCAACTTTCTTTTTATTTTCTCTTTTTAGCTTGGTATAGCTTGATACAATCTTCCGTCAGAAGTAGAAAATACAGTATTTCTGGGTGACAAAAGAATGTCAACTAAGACCCCCCCGGGGGGAGCCCTGCTAAGGAGAGTAATTTGGGCGTAATTTAGGCTTGATTTGACCCCTAAAGGAGACCATACTAAGAAAGGAAAATAAACTCGCGGAACCAACTAAGAGCTATTGTGACTTTTACAATAATTGAGCTATTTGTCGCTCGCTGATTGGGCAAAAGCTATGGTCTGTGAGATTGCAAACCATGGAGACGAGGTAGTGATGGCACACGATTTTTCTCTGTCTTTCGCGCGCGGTTTTCATAGAAAGTTCACCAGAAATGGACGTTGAAAACTATCAATGTTATAGTAAAAGACAAACAGACAACAATTTAGTATGGTCTATACTCTAATAGACAAAAGAAATGACGTCATAATGCTTATTAAAACTTTGCAGTGACCATACCATGCCAGTTATAAATTACACAGTGGAGTCCGAATCTCCTTGGACATTAAGGGGAACCCAGTCATCTCTCTTTAAAGATGACTTAGGGACTCTAGAAGACACCGTTGGGAGCGACACTGAGTGTCCATCTAAAAGAGGTGTTCGCTGTGTAGAGATTCAAAGGAAAGGACTGAAGAACGAAAGGGATCAATTCTTGGTGTCCATTGTAGAGAGGGTGTTCTATGGCCTTATAGTGGTGCTCGCTAAGATACTGTTAAGTCAAGCCTCTCGGCTCCGTCACCTCTCTAAGAAAGGCAGTGACATTCCCAATCAGTTTACTTTCAAGTTGTCCTTATTGTGGAGGTAGGCCAAATGAAGGAAGTTTGCTATCTTTGGGAGCAAGAGAACTGTCAGTAATAGAGAGGTGTCTGTATTGTAGAGGTAGGAACTGTAATAAGTTTGATGTCTTTGGGACCAAGAGAACTGTCCGTCTTCAAGCCTTATTATAGAGGAAGAAAATGTGTGAAGTTTGGTAATCACAGGACACACTGAGAACTGTCTGTAATAGAGAGGTGTCATTATAGTGGTAGGACCTGTAAGACGTTGGGTGTTTTTGGAACCAACACGGGGACTGTCCACCTTCAAGGTGTCAGTATTATAGCGGTAAGAAATGCACGAAGTTTGGTGACTAGGGAACACTCATCACCGTCCGTGATAGAGGTGTCCCTATGATAGAGGTAGGAACTGTAAGAAGTTTGGTGTGTTTAAGAACTGTCCGTCTCAGTCAAGGTCTTCGTGTTATAGAGATAGCGAATGTGTGACGTTTGGTAACCACTGGAGACATAACTGTCCGTAAAACAGAGGTGTCCGGATTATAGAGGCAAAAACTCTCAGAAGTTTTGTCTGTTCGAAAACGGTCCGTCTTCAAGGTGTCCGTATTATAGAGGTAGCGACTGTATGAAGTTTGGAAAACACAGAACAAACATAACTGTCCGTGATGATATAGAGAGGTCCATATTACGACGGACATCGGTAAGAAGAGATTCCAGTGAAATACAAGTTCAGATCTTTCACTTTAACATTCACCGGATTACCAAGCAATAACACACCTCTCTTGCTGTAACGCCTTCTTCTGAACAAAGATTAATGATTTCTAAATATGTTTACTCTTCTCTCCCAGAGTCAGTAATGAAGACAAGAAAGGTGGTTCTAAACTTTTCAGTCTGTTTGTAGAATTGTGTGGTGTGACCTGTCAACTGTCGCATGGTACTTAAAATGTTTAGTAAGGTCAGTTGCAACATTTGAGCCAGTATTGTGGTCTAGTTTTCATGTGAGTGTCGGTGGGTACGTATTGCTGTAGGTCAATGACATCAGCTTTCAAGCTGCCCTAAATACTGTATACAAAACCTTAATTATCACAGAAAGATGACGATGATCAAATCTTGTGGTGTTAGAATTCAAATGGCACTCTTTAGTGGTACTTCCAAAGTGGTGCTATTTGGGCACACAGGTCAATTTTTCTGATCCCATCTCCATACGCATGGCGTGGGAGAACTGTTTTGCGGGTTCCAACCAACAGCTTCCACTTGTATACGGTGGAGCTGTTGCTTAAAGGGGTGCTTTGCACTCGCCTCGGCAGTAAAGGGTCTTTGTGAGCCTGTGAGTAAAACCCTTTAGTGTTACTAAAATAAACCTCCTCTACGGTACTTAGAACCCGTTTGTTTTTCCGCGATAGTACCGTAAAATAAAAATTTCAGATTTTTCTCAAATTTTTGTACACACTACTATTATATCTTAGAACTGAAAGTGTTATAAGCAGAAGTATCGATGAAGTCAATCAGAAAAATAAACGTTGTCCACTAGTCGTATTCAGAAAGAGAAGGCCCCCATGGTTGCCATGAAAGTGCACCCCAGACATCGACAGAAAATATAAACAGCTTTTCGGCTTAACTTTCTCTTCGTGAAGTAATACGTTAATTCATGAATCACTGAAAAACATTGTTTTAGTCTCTAAAATGTATTGTATCAAGAAATCTTTGTAAGAACCATAAAACTTCCTGATTTGTTTGCATATTAATCCTCAAAAACTTTTTGACAACAATATCTGGTCATCGTCACTATGAGGCGCCAACATGTTTTCCTAGTGTGTCCGGGTCAAAAAGTTAGTCCTGCCCACCATTTAACTAGAAAAGGCTCAGACAAGGGGCGTACACCGATGAATTCAAAAGGGGAATATAAATCGCCCCTTGTAATTATAAGTCAATGGGTTAATTTTGCCAGAAATTTCTGGCGACTCCTGGAATTCCCATCTCAACAATTTCTCAACACTGCTTTCTTAAAGAAAAACTACGATCTCCTGCAAAACCATTTCGTGATGTTCGTTATCGATGGCAAAATCACCGTCATCTCAATATGCACCACTTGTCAGAAAGGATAGCATATGACGCCAAAAAGTTGTCCTTTGACCCTTGAAGTTGAAACTGAGATTTAGATTAACAGCGAAGGACGAGGTAATGAAAACAATGAAACATTTGAGTAAGCCTCGCGTGTCTCGACAAGCTTTTGGAAAAGAGAATAACGTAACAGACGTATCAGGTTAAGTACACCCTTGTCTAGAAGTTTCAAAGATTTTTTTGCTGAGTGGTTTATTAGTATGTGATAAAATCATTGTAAAGAAACCACGACAAAACCAAGTGTACTTCTTGAGCTGTTTAAGGTCAATGGACGTCTGTCATTTCTGACCGTAATCCCCCAAAAAAGGTATTTAAAACATTTTCGTTCACCAGTAGCATTGCAAGGATGTGTGTTTGTTGAGGTCAACAAAGCTGTTTCCTGTGCATTGGATCACCCTGAGCTCGCTACGCTGTGGACTGTGAAAAAAAAAGATTCAGTGGCTTTGTCAATGGCAAGGAAGCCCAAAGCTATTCAGTTATAGTTTTAATCACTGTCAGTCGTTCTTGTGAGCGGAGTACCTATGGCCCTTAAACATTTAAAAGAGTGAAACATTTCCAGTCGATTGTCAAAAGCTTTCGAGAGTTGTTGATGGAAAGACCACCCCCAAAGTTCATTAAATAGCAATCAACTTAGTGGCGGGTGGAAGGGAATCCGCCATTTGATTAAAGCAAGAAAACTTGTGAATATTGCCGATATTATAAAGCTTATGCATTATCGATTGAAGTGGTGCGGTAAGCCTTGTAAAGTTGCGTGCAAATTTCTGTAAAAATAAATTCTGAATTAATGTTGTAAAGAGACGATTTAAAAGAATTAATGTATCTCGTCGAGATATAGAGTCTGAATCAAAACATTTCGAGATTTCCTAAGATGAACTAGCTGTCATCAACTAATGGCAAGGAATTAAGAAATAAGAAATCTTTTAAAGCTTTCAAGATATGATTTTTTTTCGTTTCCTGTTTTAATTTTAAGACTACGTGTTTTCCATTACGATGAAAAGTGATTTCTCTACGACTTTTGTTGTGACAGCAGCGATTTGGAAGTTTCCCCTGTCGAGCTAGACAAAAGAATATATTTTAATTTCAGCAAAAACAACACCCATCAATCAATCTCAACTCTGAGGTTTCTTTCAGAAAGACAAAGTTGTCAGGGTTGTCCAGCTCTGTTATTAGCAATTCAAAATCAATGATCCTTTACAATTCACAGATATTTCCCGCCATGATGAAGGGAGGCAGTATGAAACGCGTTATTATTTCAAACTTTGTTGCTCCAGAGGGGATCACTTGTTTCAGTTCATGAGAACAGAGAAATCGATTTCTAAACGGTTAATTGCTCAAGTGCTAATCCAGTTAACTTTATTTAATAAACAATTCCAAGGCTCCACCAACGAACAATGAATTTCCCGCCCCCCTTTACAGAGTTAATTCAATGTTTTGAGAGGCGTGATGCTCAGAAGACATGAGAGAAAGGGAAGTGGTCAGAGATCGTTCAATTACACCATGGAAAACAAACGAACAGGCGATTGACAGCTCTCAAAATGGGATTAGGGAATTAATTTGGATACGCTGTTAACGAATGATCAGAAGTCAGCAGTGAAAAGAAAAATGAAGCGTTTTTGGTCTTATAAAGTCTTTTGCTTTGTTCAAAGATTTTCAATAGCTATCATTTTAATTAACGTGCATGTCAGAGAGGTGACATCTTTTTATCACCCTAAATAAATTCTCCTCAAACAGTGAATAATAACATGTGTTCTATGTCAATTCAGGCGAGTCATACATGACGTGTCTCAAGCTTGCTCATTAACCATCCCACACATTCTTGCCTACCCTTTGATCTGTGTACAGACAACAGGCCAGAAGCCATCTTGAGCACCCTCCGTTGGGACTCGTAATGTCTTCTTTTTCTGTAAAGAACATCCTAAGTCTTCCGGAATCGTGTCTCCAAAGCTGCTCCAACACAACTACAAGAGTTCCTAATATTTGTCAAGGTGCTAATCTCTCCCCCGAACGGCCAACAGGATCTAATTGCATAATAACAGCGATGCCACCTTCCGCCAAAAGCCAAGACAGCTCTTCGGGTATGTTAAACTCTGTGAGTTAAAGTACTCTTTTCAAATTCTTGCAGGATTTTCTGCCTCACCACTCTTTACCTTGAAGGACGATTGCTTGTTTCTATAGTTATAGAAAACCGCTCACAAGCTCGTGGTCAAAGTTCCGTGACTTGAAACCTGAAATGACATCTTTCATTGAAGCGTCATCTGTGCAGAAATGTACTGAAAGAAAGCTAAAGGGCAGTTTCTCAATATTTAAATACTCTTCTAACATAAAAGCAGAAAGTTGCATTTGGCGAATAATTTTGCGAAATAACTCTGAAAACAAACAGAACTTGTGTTTTGCAATTTCCGTTTTAGTTTGTTTCACGTACGTATGCAGGGTGAGTTAGATGGAGTTTTTACGTCCATTTTAATCGCGCATTTTCAGGACAGCTTACCTAAAATTACGAATAGAAACCTGTAAGTCACTGAAGTCCCTGATAACAGTTCCGCCTTGCTAGTAGTTTAAAACTAAATCACCTCTTAATCGGTGTTATCGAGTCTCATCAAAAGCCTCTACCCGCTTTTGCTTGATTAGGTCCTCAATCATATCCTGAGTTGAGCGAAGAATGCTTGGGAGGTGACATGGAGAAGCAAGAAACAAAAGTCAACAAAGACGATTCCAGTGAAGCTCCTAAGAAGAGAAAACGTCGCGTTTTGTTCACCAAACAACAAATCTACGAGTTGGAAAGAAGGTTTAGATATCAAAGATACCTTTCGGCTCCTGAGAGGGAACAACTTGGCCGAATGATAAACCTAACTCCTACGCAAGTCAAAATTTGGTTCCAGAATCACCGATATAAACAAAAGAAGCAAGCTACCGAAGCTGGAGAGTTTAAGGACTCCCATTCACTTTACCCTAGGACTGTACCGGTGCCAGTGTTAATCCGAGAAGGTCAGCCATGTTATTCAAACGACTTTAGCAATGGAGTGGGGAACTGCTTCACAAATCAGTACCCGTCGTCTTATGACTACACAAACTCTTACGGCAATTCCTACTCATACACGGCGCCTATTTCATCGATGAACTCTTCTTGCATGCAAGCTTATTCGTATTGTAAGTGGTAGAAAAATCTCCTCAGAAGTACTTTTGAGAATACATTTCGCAATTGAGTGACTGCAGCCTCGTTCAAGCTGTTAGAGGTGACAGACCGTAGACCAGGCTAAGAGCAGAGTCTCTTTAAAGTCTGTCCATCATTGTGTAGATTTCCACAAAGTGGTTTCCCCATTTTAGGTGCACTACCTGCAGTTTTGTATTTTAAAAAACCCCTGTACAGTACCACAATCATCTTAATTTAAATTTTATCAGAAGTGAACTTATACAAATACACGAGTTTGAAATGTAAATTCCATCAATTTTGTTGTTCAAAAGTGGCGGTGTTCGTGTTGTATTAGAACATTAAATGAAGTCAAGAGAAAATTCTCTTTTCTTTCATATTGCAATTCCTTTTCTAAAAACTGAATATAACAGTATGTTAATTCATATTATTCGTCTTCCGAATAGAATTACGTAGAGTAGAATGATTGTTGCCAAGCCATTAGTTAGAGACCTTGGCAGCGTTCAAGGCATAGAAAATTCACCATAGAAAAATCATTAACATAAATGCCTAGCTTTCCAGTGTGTTTGAAGTATCAGAAAGTTTTTCCAATAGAAAAAGTGAAGCAGTTTTTTTTTTTTCAAAAAGTGGTTACCTGCTCTGCTTAACAATTGCTTTTTACGTGTAAAACAGGGTGTGTTCGATGCATCATTCTTTATTTCAGTAATACGTATCGTTAACTTCCAGCATCTTTAATCAAAAAGTGTTGGTTGGTTGCTGTGAGAAAAAGCGAAAGCTCTTTGCTTGGTTCGTGCTTGCGAGTAAACTTAACACGATTTCATCATTCAAAAAGGAAGAATGGAGGAACTTCGGTTAACCACAGAGAGTTGGGAAGTTTATAAAACCGTGAAAACCTGTACAAATACTGTTATGAATAATTTATCACTTTTCAGGAGGAATTCATCGAAGTACTCATATGACATTCTTATTTGACTGGTTAATTTTTCCCCAGATTTCCAATGTAGGTTAAATCAATAGTTTTAAGTCTCGGTTACCCTTAAGATGTTCTGCAAGGTTCTATTTAGGTCGCGCGTTTTCCTCAGAATGTGTCAAACAGAAATGTGCGCTGCGGGTTAATTCTTTACTTAGGGAAGCTCTAACAATGTTTATGACACTGGTATACGCAATAATTCTTCTAGTAAATGGTTTCAGTCACGTTCCTAAAACTCATCTGCTCAAAGAGTACAGACCCTCGAAATCTCTGAAAAATTATACTCGTAAGAGACAATTTTTTCTGCTAATCGGGCATCAGAACGTTTCACAATGTCAAAATACTTTCTTTTGAAAACATATGATAAGGCTGAAGTGTAGCTGAGAATGAAGTAAAGCTTGTCCAAGCAGGTACATAAACCCTTTCCCTCCTAGACTGAGTTGTGATCATGTTCTAATTTTTGTATCACGGGACGAAATCCTGTGATGTTACCAATCAGATGAAAGCTCTTTAGCAGAACTTTTGCCTAGTACTATATAAATCTTAGGAATTTACAGAAATAAATCTTGAATTTTTTGTAGTTTTCATCTTTGGCGACTATCAGGAATGGAAGGGTTAACAAAGGATACGTAGCCGCGAGTAAACACCGGATCTTGTACATATATTTGCATGCAGGTAATATTGCCTTAGAGTTCCCAACAAAATTAACAATAAAAGTACAATATATTATCTGTATTTTAAAAACAGTTGTACTGAGAAATGTATCCGAATAAATGTCCGAAATGTACATGTGAAAAAATTAGCTGTGTGATGCTTAATTCTGTTGGCTGTTCATGATTTTACTGGATCGTCTCCGTCAATACAAAGGATGAAATTTTTTCAGAATAAAATATACCAGATTTTATTTGCAAACTGCTAAAAAACAAACAGTGCCACAATAGGAATAGCTATACTTTAGGATTTCAGTTTTTCGGTTTGTATATGCCCATCTAACAGGACTGTGAAGATCATTTACCCCCTGACTCTACTGAGTGCCTCTAAACCTTCCAGGAATAACGCTGGCAATAGAACTCTAGTTTGCTGAGTAAATAAAACTGTCAACCAGTATGTACCTCTGAAAGTATTACTTTAGACGTGTCACGAGGGAGGGATCCGTCTACAAGGCTTCGTACAGTTTTATATGTTTTCGATGTTTTATGTCTATATGACTGGGTCACTGAGTTCTTTGGATAGTATGTGAGCAAGCAAATCGGACTAGTGAACGAGTGTAAATATTTCTACTTATCAAAGCACTAGTAGAGTCAACGCGATTCTGAAGTAAATCTTAAAATACGGGTTCTATTTTCCAAGTCGGAGTGGATTCAACCAAACCTTGATCAATCAATAAGACCTTTCGTTCAACAGTTCTTGGCGGTGACGTTTTATTTGTGTCTAATGGGTAGTTTGTGTGAATAAAGTTTTCCCTGAAGTGTTCTATCGTAGTAAAGCGCTGCTGGTGCAGTCCAAGATTTATGCGTCCGCTAAACAGTCTGGAACTTGACCGTTCAAATCAGCTTTAATATTGACCGATGACCGATCCTGTAAACTTTGCTTTTTGCCATTATGTTGCGTTGATATACATTTGTAAAGTAAAGTGCTTGTCTTCATACCAACAAGAAGAAACGTATGTTTAAAATTGAGCGACTTCGTAGCAGATGGACCGCTGCACTATCCTTGCTACATTTCAAAACAAGTAAAGACAAAACTGGGTCGACATAAAGCCTCTTACAGCATGTACACCATTTCGCCTGTTACTGTTCTAAGCGCATCCGGGTAATCCATGAACAGAAAGCTCTAGGCAATAAAGTGGACTTTGTAGAATACTGAATTTAAAAACTACAGTCGATTTTTAAGACGCTACACCTTTTCAGTCTCTCAGTCGTTTATGGAAAAACCTGTAGCGCTGATCCGACTCCGGGGGGGGGGGATACTTGGGTTAATTTTTGCTGGGTATGTGCCGCTGGTCTCTTAGAATCCCTACCCCATTATAGTCTATTCTGTAACAATATCATAGACCCCATCTTAGCCACTCTGGGAAAAAATAATTTTCGCAATCCTAGCTAAGTCACTTTCTGTTCATCCTGAAATGAACTGACAAATTTGTTAAACTTAATGTGGTGTAAATCTTTCTATTTTTCAACCCCTACATACTTGAATTTTCTGACGCCATGAAAAGACTGAAAATGTGTGTCCCCATTCTAGTAACTCAGTGCGTTCCCATCACTCTAGTAACTCTTGTACTGATGCAACCCCATAATAGTCAATCCAGTCGTGAAAATGCGACCCCATCGGGCGGCACATACGCATTAGCCTACTACTAGGAAGCACCCCCGGGAACTTCATCATTTAATCCTGTGTTATGGTCATTCAAATGAAACCTTTAAGTATTACTTTTACAGGGAACCTGATACGTTTTTCATTAGTTTGTAAAAGGTAATATTCTAAACGACTGTTTCTTGAATTTTTATGTCTGACACTCGACGAAGGCAATGATCAACTGCCTCCATGTTGCCAGATAACTTACAGTGGCTCATTACTAAGCAAATGAAACCATCAGATGAGGGTTCATGTTGTTTCCGATGCCTTATCCCGTACCGTTATATCGAACATGGAATTTGACAAGTTATGTTCGTAATTCTTTTACCAGTATCGCAAAACTGACTCTACTTAACTTAAGGAAAATAATCGGTCCATGTTGTAGGTTAACTGAAATTAGCACCCAGTCTTATGAATACGAATTGATATATTTTCAACTGTGTCAATAAACTGAATGTTTATGGACCGCACTTCATGGTGAAGATATACTGAACAGCCTCACAAAATGTAATACTTTATAAGCTATTTTGTGATCGAGTAGTTATAAATTGAGTATTTCATCGAGACTGGAAAATCAAAGCATCATGTTTGCATCATCAACGAGACGATTGGAAAGTTTGGGTCAATATGGCTGTACATAAAAACTGCTCAGCCCTTAGGATTATGTGTACTTCAGGACTGCATCAATCCAATGTAACCAGGTGTTAGAACCGCCGTTTACAGCACAAAAACAAGGCCAAATGAAACCGTTTTAAATATCTCATTGCTCATAATCTTCCGCGTTTATTTGTGGCTGGTGCCGGGTTCACGAGGAGGAGAACTTTAACCTGACGACGTAGAAACGTAGAAACGAAGCTTAGAGTTCTATGTGCGGACGGCCTAAAACATCAGCGTGGGAAACAGTATGACTTAATTATTGTCACTTACGAAAAGGATAATGCATTTTTTTCATACTATGTAAGCCTTGCCATAAAAAGGTCAAAACTTCACTAGTTTGAATGTCGACTCAAAGCAGGGGCCAACACGTTCAGGAATTGAAGAATGGACGTCATGCACTCAGTGATGTAAGTTCCTCAAGACTTCTCGCGTTAGTCCTCACATGACTTCTCAAAACTGCCCCTATTAAGAAATTTCTTAACGTTAACATATCTAAGAGAAAAATCGAAGTGAATATATAAAGAGTTACATTTTTCACCAAACAGGAATCTGAAGAAAGACCTTGCTCTGGCCGCTTTTACTCCTACGTGACGAGTTTCACACTTCGGATAAATAAGTCTCTGAGTTACTAGTTTTGGTTGACAATATTTTGTAGCCGAATTGCTGGTGTGGAGCCGGCGAGGTAAAACCGGATGAAGCCTGATCAAGTTTGGAACTGAGTGAACAACATACTCAAAGAAATCGCTCAAAATATCTGCGATCTCTGTCAGCCATACTGAACCAGCTCAAGACGTCGGTGAAAGAATTTTCTATTAATCGAGGGGTTCTGTAAGAAATCGACTGACCTCTATGACGGCTTTGACAGCGAAAAGTAATATAAAGCATTATATACAATAAAAGTATAAAAACCTATCAGGCTGCCCTTTCTCACAGCAAGTATTATCCGTTTAAAAAAAATGTAAGAACTATCAGAATAACACCGCCATTTGATTCCAAGACGATATACAATGTAATCGGCTTCGTCCAGTAAGAATACGTATTGAACTAAAACATACGATGGCCGATTCTCTTGATAGGCTTTCGTGCGATATGTTTTGACGCTAAGCGTTGCAACTGATTCACCGCAAAGAAGATCTATTCAGAAAACTGCAAAACACTGTGAGGACGAATTTCGTCGTCTGGAATTTTGACCACTTACTCAGTAGTATCGCTGTTTATCTACTATCCTTATCATCAGAGTAACAGTTCGCCAATTGAGGTCTGAAAACTAAACAAAGATAGAAAAAGCGACCGACAAGAATTTTTACTCTCTCACGGAACCTTTACATGTTGGAGCACCAGTCAGTTACTGTTTCACCAGTAATTACTACTCAAGTCGGTGCAGAGTTAATCGAGAGCACTACGTCTTTAACCTTTTTATGTAAGTAAGAGTAGATTGTAATCGTTAAACGTTTTCAATGATGAGAACTGGCCTGCACGTTTTTCATGTAAACCCTCGGTTCAGCGCCTAGGAACCGTTGCTGATTATTCAAAATCCGCCGGCTCCTGAATAAAAGCATCGGGATACTTTCACCCAACTGGAATATTATCGTTTATCAGAACCTATGAACTAGTTGTTATCGCTTCATCATCAGCAAGCCAAAGAACAACAAGAATGAAACTGTTTACAGTTATTTCGTCTTGAACTTTAGTCGAGCTGATTGACTGCCATTGTAATACGGCTGATTAACTTTCTTAGCAGCTCTTAGCGATTTGACAAAATATATAAAAGTAAATAACAAGTGTAATAAAGTAAGTATGGCTGAAATAGAATAAATCCAACTGAACTCCTCTGGTTGGTCACAAAACTTCCAAGCTGGTTCACCAACATTAAAGAAATCGAAGCTGCTCCTCTATGTCAGGAGGTCTTTATTCATTCTTCCTTTTCACGTTCAAAAGGAATTTACAAAAATCACCTCTGTCGGGCAAAATGATCGGAGAGATTAAGTTCAATTTGAACCGTGAGGTATAGTAGGTTGCTGAAACAAGTAATGATAACAGGTAACAACTGCATATAAGCAAAGCGAACTCTTCAAGAAAACTACTATGAAAAGAACCATATGGTTCTCTCTTGGAGAGACTGACTTTTCAGTTTAGGATTTCAATCCACACACTCGAAAGTTTAAGCGCCCACTGAGATGTGTATAGAAAACTGAACAGGCCATACCGTCATATCTTATATTTGGATACATCGTACAGCATAACAAACAGCACCAAAGTACTGTTGAGTTCCTTAATGCTAACACTTGCGGATTTCATCCACATGCACACTCCAAAGTTAGAACTACCTTGTACAGGCACATTAAACAGCACCACAGGAAAGTACTCACTTGAGGATTTCATCTACAGACTCAAAAGTTAGAACTACCTTGTACAGCATATAAAAACAGTACCACAGGAAAGTACTCTCCGGTAACTTTCATTTAAACACTTCAGTCTTTCATTCACAGACTCAAAAGTTAGAACCGCCTTGTGCAACCTAACAAACAGCACCAAAAGAAAGTATTGTTCGATAGCTCGATCAGTTTTGATTCACCCGTGATTCATCTGGAGGATCATACTTGATGAGTCCATGCTCAGACACTACTCCTTTTAATGGAGCCACCTTGTACAGCAAAGTAAACAGTACCACAGTAAATCTAGACTTTGATCGGGCTTAGACACTTTTGAGTATTTCATCCAAAGTAAGATTCGGATTACTACCTCGTATTTTACACCATATCATAAACAGCGTCAGGCAACTTTGACTGCACAAAAAGCTATTGACAGAGAAGTCATTAAATAATTTCTCATTATCGCGTCTTTGATCAAGAATTGAAAACTACGTTTAAACTAAAGGAGTTTGCAATTTAACTGATTTGAAAATTTTACAAGTCTTTGACGACTGAAGATTTTTTGTTTAGCTTATAACTTAACTACTTAACTTAGCATTGCACAAACTGCATCAAAAATAATCCGCTTAGAGTCCTTACATGCCTTTCGGTAGCAAATGCATTAAAGTCCTTACAATCGAATATATTTTTATTGTACAAACGACATTTGTCAATAACCAAGGTCTTGATTACATTGTCGTAGCTAGACAAAAGCAGATTAGTATGTTAAGAATGTACATAC